AATTTGGAGTTTTTTCACCTTCAATTTCATCACATTTACTTCTTTGCAAAGAGAACGACGAACTTTTAGCACTTATTGTAGGTAATACACTTGTAGAAGTTGATGCCCCATCATCCACCTTTTAAAAAGATTTAAATATTCTTTCAAAATTAAAAGAAACCTCTCTTTCCTTGCTATTTCCATCAACAGAAAAATTATCTCGAAGTACTTGTTGAATAACTCCCAAAATCACTCCTTGTGCTTGAGTATCCTTTTCATCCAAAACCGGAAGTATTTCACTAGGAGAAACACCACGCGTCAAAGAATTTGATTTTGAAGAAGTTGGAGGTGGAAATGGACCTTTTTAAATTAAAAAAATAAAAAAAATGAAAAAAGGGAAAGATTAAACCTATTTTCATACACTTTGCAAGAGAAAGACCTCGATCCAATGAATTTGTTTTGGCATGTCCTCGTTGCCGACCATAAAATTGCTGGTCTGGACTTGTTGTTGCAGTTGTTTCCGAGGAAGAAGTGACAGCATTCGTTATTTGTTGTTCTGAATTTTTTGGCAAAGGCCTTCTTGGTGGTAATGGAGGCGGAATTGGTGATGTTGGTGAAATTGGTAATGAAGGAGAAAGCTCACATTCTGGTGAAGTTAAATGATCAGGCAAAGGCGGTGGAGGGCCTAATGGAGGCGGTATAGAATTTTGGAAGGAACTTTGAGAGAAAAATTCGTCACAATATGAGGAATTGGCCAAAGTATCAACAGCATCCTCAAAAAAGTCCTCGCTATCACTCTTATTTGACATTAGAAATACCTGAAACTTAATCAAGAAAATAAAAAAAAATTGTGAAATTTAAGGAAAAATTAAAAATAAAATTTTAGTGAAGAGCAAAAATACAAAACGCCAAAGGAATTACTAAAATTCCAGCTGTTTTTTAATTAAGCTAAATAATTTCTCCAACTCATCCTTGTCAGCAATAATTGATAAAATTAAAATTTAGAAATTCTAAAAATTAAATAGATTCCAAAAAATAATCTAATTAAAATCAGAAACTAACAAAAGAAGCCCTTTAATCAATTTTTACTTAATAAACTATAATATTTATTTATGCTTCTCGAAGTCTGCGTTGATAGCCTTGAGGGTCTAATAGAAGCTATTAATGGAGGTGCCGATCGAATTGAATTATGCTCTGCTTTGGATGTTGGTGCAGTAACACCTAGTCCTGGCAAGAAATAATTTAAAATTAATTCAAAAAATTTTTTTATTTTTGGTTTAATCGCCAAAGCATCAGAATTTTGTAAATCAATTCCTATTTATGCTATGATTAGGCCTAGATCTGGTAATTTCATTTATTCTAATTACGAAATTGAAACAATGGAAGTGGATATTGATGCTATCCGGGCATCCGGATTAAATGGTGTTGTCTTTGGTGCTAATTTGGATAATTTAAAATTAGATGAAAGAGTGCTTGAAAGGTTAACTAAAAGAGCACAGGTGAGGATGTGATGATTAATTCTCTTAGAAATTTAAGGGAGAAAAGTATGTGATGACGAATTAATTAAATACATATGTACATACGAATAAAATAATTAAGGTTCCATCTTGTGGAATGATCTCATTATAAAGGAAAATTAAATTTTTGCTTCATGATTTTTGTGGTGTAGTGGTATCGTTTTTGCCTACACCTTTTTCTCGTTAAGGTTCGAATCCCTTCCGATCAAAACATTTTCTTTTATCTATTTTATCATTTTATATTGTTTTTTGATAAGAAATTCTCCTTTTTTACTAATTTTAATATGTACATTTAAAAATTATTACTGAAAATTAACCTTAAAAAATTCCAATAATAGTGAAAGAAATTGTATGTATAAAGTTGATTTTCTCAAATATGTATTTTACTTTTTAAAGTACATATTTATTGTATTTTAAGTACTTCATTATCGTTTTTCAGGGAATGGGAAAAACACTTCATCGTTGTTTTGATTTAATTCCCGATATAAACGAAGGAATTGAAACAGCCATAACTTTGGGGTTTGAGAGAATATTAACTTCAGGTTTAGACCTAATCAAAAACTTTAAAATTTTTCCAAGGTTTTGCCAAACGTGCCATTCCTGATGGAATTCCTAATTTACAAAAGGCAGTAGAAATATCATCAGGAAGAATTTCAATAATGCCTGGATCTGGAATAAATTCTGGAAACATTTCTGAATTATTAAAAATTAAAGGAATAATTGAAGTACACTCTTCTTGCTCGAAAATTAACAAAACGAATGATGAAAATAATTTAAAAAGATTAATAGACTTTGGATTTTCGAACGGAGTACCAAGTAGAATAACTTGTGCAAATGAAGTGAGACAATTAAAGGACAACCTCAAAAGAAATTAAAAGAACACGATAATATAAGAAAATTTATTTATTAAATCTTTAAAAAATAAATGTTCTTTCACAATGTAATTTGTTCTTTCACAACTCAGCAAAAATTACAACGTGCCGGACATTGTGCAAGCATTCGTGTTCGATCTGTTAGGCAAAAACCCCTTGCAACCATTGAACCACAATCCATTCTTCCCGCTGGGAAAATCCAATCTCTACAACCTAAAATTAAGAAAAAAAACTTTCACTTTAAAAATTCTTTTCACCCCTTCCTCCACCCAAACGTCTATCTCCAATTCGTGAAGATCTTGGCTGCCACAATCCTCCTGGCTGACGTGCTGGCTGTCGCCCAATTCCCATAAAAGGAATATTGCCAACACGAGTACCTCCTAGTTGCCTACACAATTCAGTACAAGTTCCCAAACATTGTTGTGCCATAACGCTAATCCAAAGCGGATCAGAACATCTATGGGCGTTTGCTGGACAATCAGAAGGACGTCCTGGCACAGCCAAATCTCGACAAATGGGACGTCCTTGCCCTCCTGGCTGAAGACCCCCCATATTTTGTTTACGTTGACTTCTAGATCTTTGTCCAGGCAAAAGAACTTCCATATTTACGGCAGTTGGATATTGTTGACGGATATCCTGAGCACAACAAATGGGCAAACTCATTCGATTGTCCCATTTATCGAAGCCTTTTGGATAGTTAGCAGGACAATGATGTTCAGTAAATCCTCCTCCTCGTATAATTTCAGGAACTTTTAAATAAATTTTTGAAATAATTTTTTGAAAATAAATTAAATGTATTCAGAATATTTAATTATTATTTGTTATAAAATTAAATTTAATGAATTTGTCAAAAAAATCCTTTAATATATTTATTACCTCGACAACCTGGAGGCAATGTTTTAGGCGGTTCATCTGGATATATATGTACATTAGGAACATTACCAACTAAACTAATATCAGATGTGCAACAATAATTATTTGATTTGTAAAGCTCAAGTGGTGGAACACAATCTTGAGCACCAGTTCTTCTATCCGATAATGCATCTATGGTATTTTTAAATTTAGCAATTAGATATTTAGAAAGGTGAAAATTTTTTAATTCCCTTAATCCTGCCTCGGGGGATAAACTTAACACCTCAGAAGATTAATTATAATACAGTCGATCTGAATTATGCTTACATTCTTAGGATTAAGAATTGCACCTTAAATCATTTACATGCAGCTTTACCCTCGTAGTGATCAACCAAGCATTAAAAAAGTTTTATATTGTAAGTATACTTAAAAAATACTTAAAAACTGTATTTACATAAAAAAAACAAGACTCCTATACTTTGAATGTATACTTAAAGACCGTAAACCAGATTTTTAGGTCTATCGAGATTTCTGGTTAATTTATGAAAAAAAGTTCGCTGGCCGCTTTCCGCAAAAGTCGTTAGTAATACTTTGATTATGATAAAAGAAAGTCGTCAACTGATCATTTGATAATATGAGGGAAATAGAGACAAGGAGCAGAATGCATCTTAGATATCCCTATGGCTCCAGAAAGGGCTAAATAAGAGGCTATTGTGAACTGCCTTATGGAGATAGGCGATTAATGAGCTGGACATTTACCGGGAGGTTGTTGTAAAAAATTACTTACCAATACAATAAAATGTAACAGAAAAAACTAAGCGATTCAAAATAATATTAAATATTAACAAAAATAAATAAAAATTTTCTCCATAAATTTTAAAAATCATTTTAAAACAAAAATAACAATGAATTTTAAATTAAAAATAAATTCACTAGCAAAATTTAAAAGCAGATGTTTGTTATTACTCATTTTTAAATAAAAAACCTTCAAATTAATTTTTAAAGTGGATAAATCCAAATGACAAAACCAGACAAATAAAAAAACAAAGAAATTAAACTGCAGTTTTAATCAACTTTAAAATCCAAAATTTCAAAATTTTTATTTATTTACATAGCTTTCAAAAACAAAAATAACGAGAAGCGAGAAATTAATTTTTATCCAGGTAAGGGTATTAATTTTTTATTTTAATAAGTTTAACAGATTAATTAATTTGAGTAAGTCTGAGTCGAGCGAGTTCGAGTTACTCGACTCAACCGCTCGGGTTTTTTGTGTAATTACTCGACTCGAAACTCGGGATCATAATAATCGGATTACTCGAGCTCGGAAACTTCCTACTCGACAGACTCGGTTAAAACCGAGTATTTTTATGCCCCTATATGCTTATATCTCATCTAAGTCTTCTATACTTTTAAAAGATTCAATTCAACAAATTCCAAGAACAACAAATTTACTACCAAAATTCACCTTGTGAATACAGCGAAACAATAAAATGAAATTTGGTTATGAGAAAAAATACAATAAATATTACTTAAGACAAATATTATATATTATGTACAATATAGGGTGAACAAAACAAAATATAGGTATATTTATATATTTTGTACAAACAAGTATAGAATTTTTTAATTTACTATCAATTCTGGTTTGGACTGTGGATGAATCTTGTCTGTCTAATTCTTATCATCCGACTGCCGCAATCCATCATCAGTCATCACGTTCGGTGTCTAAAAAAGAGAAAATTCATTTTTATTTAAGCGGTGATTGGTTTCAAAAAACTCACTAAGTTTCGGCCAGCCACGGGTGAGCAAGAATGCGGCGGGAAGTCAAACGCCTTTTAGGGTCAGGATGCAGCATACCAAGGATCAGACTACGAACTTCAGCGCTAAGACGGTGAGAGAAGTGAATTGACTGGGCTTTTTGACGTTTGATAATGGCCGGGACTTCATCTTTGCTACTGCCAAACGGAAAGAAACCTTTAAATTAAAAAATAAAATTAAAAATAGAATTTAGTACCCTCACTTGTAAGGATAACATAGAGAACAACGCCTGCACTCCAAATGTCTACCCCATTGCCTCTGTAGGTCCGACCGCTCAGTAATTCAATCGCTGCATATGGTCGAGAGCCGCAGTGGGTATTTGAATCTACCCCTGGCCGAAGTTCACGAGCAAAGCCAAAATCGCCAAGTTTGACACGCAAATTGCTGTCCAGAAAGACGTTCTCGCATTTGATGTCCCTGTGTACAATGTGTTGTCGCTCAAGATAGACTATTGCATCCATCAATTGTCTTAAGATGGGCTTTGCTTCGCGTTCCTCCAAATATCTGTCTGGCTTTGTTCTAATGTAGTTGAGCAAATCGCCACCCGGTGCGTATTCCTCAACAATGGCGACATATTCTTTTGTTCGATGGATCTGTGCAAATTAAAATAAGCTTTGGGGATTTAAATAAGTTTGCTTTACCGCATAGGCTGCAACAATGTTGACGTGATCAAGACGAGGAATGATCGCCAGCTCTCTGGGCATGAAGCGTTCAATGTATTCACCGCGCCTTCTGAGGTCGACTAGCTTTACTGCAACCTGTTCATTGTTCCTTGATGACATTGTGGCCTTGTAGACGTGCGAATGCGTGCCAGTTCCTATTAAATAAAACTCAATTATTTTTTAAAGAGAAGGTAGAAAATGCAATAAAGCTCACCAATTCTTCCTTCTCGTCCCTCAATAAGCCTAACACCGTTTGTGCGAAGAAGCTCCTTAATCCGTCGTTTAGGCTCGTCATCCTGTGCCGATGTCGATGAACGTCCTCGACTGCTTCTGCTATTAGCTGGCGGCATCACTATCCGGGCTGGCGGAGGTTGATTGGGATCAGCTTGCGTTCGTTGAGTTGTAGGGAAATTCGAGTAATGATGAAATTTGTGCGACTTTTATACCATTTAGAATTAGCGAAATTGCCATTAGACGACGGTTTCACTGATATTGGAAGACGAATATCGTCGCCTTCCAATACACATTTGGTAAACGAATATCGTCAACAAGCTCATTTCGAATTTGCTTAAGAGAGCTTGGTGATTGTGTTTTAAACAAATCACAAAACTTTATTACAAATAAATTTATTACAAAGCTGAAATCTAAATAAATTGCATATTTTTTAATTTTATTTAAATGTCTCCTTTTTTAGACTCTTATTTATCTAATCATATTTTCTTTTTTATTTTTTCCCTTTAACTTCCTTCTTCAATACCGATCTTTTAATTTAAGCATAAATCCCTTTTCGCGCTCCATTATCCTCAACAATGAACATTTTAAGTCACAAACATATATTTCCTTTTTTTGGGGTTTAAAGAAAATAAGAAAAACAACACAGTTCCTTTTTTCTTTTTTAATTTGTACCGCTTCGCACATTTTCTGTATAAAATAAATACAGTTAGTCATAATAATTATATACTATTTAGCAGAAATAAGAAGAAAATGCCGGCAAATTTGCCATATGGAAGCAGAGTAAAAGCGGGGAATATTAAATAGAAACAAAAAACATATACATATTTATGTAGTCCATTTACAAGGATGAATGACTTTTTTTTGGATAAACCTAAAAAAATAAATACCTAGATAAGTAGGCTAATGGACTATAATGGCCTATTTATTTAAATAATATTTATAAATAAATTTAATTTTTTATTTTTTTATTTGTTGACCTTGAACTAAGAATTTGACAATTACATAAATTAAAAATTAAAAAAAAAGAATTTGGCAATTAAATCTCATTTAAAAAAGTTCCAAAATTTTTTGTTCGATTAAAAAAATTAATTTGATACATATGTAAATGAATCTGCTAAAATATTCTATATCTAGAAGATTTATCTGCCAATAAAAATTATTTTATATTTTTGGCGATTTTACAATACGAGCTTCATCATTGAATTTGCCTAAAATTGTAAATGATGCGTCGCCTAGTTTGTTTTATTAAATTGTGTTAATTGTTTTAATTTTTTGTTAAAATTAATTTTAACCTCCTACATTATTTTTAAAATATCTTTGTACTGAATTAGAGCTTTACTGATTGTAAAAACTTTTGATTTTTTTCTTTCGACACAAATTTTAATTTAAATATTCATAAAAATATAATTTATAATTTCAGTTCATTGCTTTAATAAAAAAATTTTTTTGCCAAGCTCTTAGCGGGAGCTTTTGCCTAGCCTCTCTTGAAAACCTCTTTAAACGCATCCATTATTATTACAACAAAATATATATATTTTTAAATAAATGTTTATTATTATCAACAACCGGCAAAAGAGCTATTGAAGTATATTTATATTTAGTATAGTTGTTGTTATTGGCCATTTGCTTAAAATAGAAGTAGTTTAGATTTTGGCCTAGTATTTTCTTTGTTCTTGTTAAAATAAATTTAGAGATAATGGGGAATTAATAAAGGAGGTTACACAAATAAATTTAAAAAAATAATTATTAAAATTCTAATAATTTTTGTTTTAACTATTTTCAACAAATTTTTAAAAGGTTTTTCCTGACACTTCGAAAAGCTTATAGTCTTTAAATAACAATAGCGCTTGTAACTCTAGATTTTTTTCAGGATTCATGGAAAATTTCATGGAAAAAATTCAAAAAAAAATTCATGGAACGAAAAATTCCTCATATTTTTAAATAAAAATTTAGAATTTAAAAAAATTTTAAAAAATTTCATATTTTAAAACCTACATAATTACTAATATTTTTAGTATGTATAATTATGCTTATGTAATCTATTTTTAATCTATTTTTTATTTTTTATAAATTATTTTTAAATAAAATTTCTATTAAATACATAGATTTCTATTATTTAAAAAATTTTTGTCTAAAAATTATTTAAAAATAATATCCCCAAAAACAACTCAGCGGGAGTTGACTCAATGAGCCATAACAGTAATTGAACGGTCAATGAACTGAATGGTTAAGGAAAAAATTATAATCTTTTTCAATTGTTTTTTTGGTTGTTTTACATTTTAAATAATGAAAATAATTAATTGCGTAATTTATTAAAAATAAATTTTTTGTGAAATTTTAAGATTTTTTGTATAACCATGTAAATTACCTATTTGTTTTTTTCTAAATAATTTAAAATTACATATTTAATTTTAATAAATTTATTCTACTAAAATACTTTTTTTATATTCAGAAATATTCTTTAAATTTAGCAGATGAAAAAGATATGTATTTTTAAAATATCTACAGTACATATTTCTAAAATTTAAATAAAATATATCCAAATCTTCATTACCAGATTTTATAAAAATGTAAAAGAGAGGGCAGAGAAGAGCATTTCCTGATTTGGTAAAAATGCCAAAAATTTCATACTATTATTAAATTTACATAATATTTTTGAATAATTTTTCTGAGTGGAGGTTTTCCGCAATTTAGGTTTAAAAAGTTACTCTTTTATAAAATAAAATATACTTGTACATAATAAGAATTTAGTTTTAATAAACCTCTGTAATACGATTTCCAAACATTTGAAACAACTTTAACATTTTGTTTTCTTTTAATTTCTTTATTGATAATACATACCCATTAATTATACTTTTAAAATATCTTTTTGTTTTTTTAGTCGGGAATGCCAACCTACGATTTGGAAATTGAAAATTTCTGTCATTTTGAATGCAAAAATAAAATTGCAAATAAACTTATATTTTGATTCTCTGAAGCTAAATACAGCAAAATTAAAATTCTTAACTTACCGCTGTAGGAGAAAACGCCTAACTTCGCTGACTTTCCTTATAACGCTCATTCTTTTCGATACAACTGACAAAGTTGTATCAAGATTTACGATAATTTTAAGATTTCTAGAATTGTTTTAAGCATCACAGGTGAAATTTTTAGATTTTTTTGAAAGAATTAGGAATTTAAGATTTGTTTTGCAATTGAAGGGCAAAAAAGTCTCAATTGATTCGACCAACAAATTTAAACGACGTCTAACAATCCTACCACATATTCTTTCTCCAGTCAAACTTAAAAAATTAAAAACAAACATTATACAAATATTTATATCAAGAATACAACAAATATATACATATACATCTTGAAGGACATAATCAACAGGCAAAATATACAATACACTATGGTTTGGGGTTAGAAAAATATACAATGGGAATTATGAATCATCCTATGCTCATCCGCTTCAATTTTGTTGTTGCCTGCTCCTTCCTGACAGTCATCTCGCGATCTCTTCCGGTGCTTCACTCCTTCTTCTCCTCGGCAGCAGGAGGAGCGGCGGCAGAATTGGCGGCAGCAGCAGCGGCCGTGACATTGAAGACCACCTCTCCGGACTGTGCCTGAGCAAGGAACGGCGCCTTCGGATCACTCTCTTCAGCAGGCACCTCTGCCCATTGGACGACGAATCGATCTGCGCCAGGAGATCCTCCAGGGAGACGATGCACATCGACAGGCTTCTTGCCATTGGGGTCGACGAAGCCGTACACAGAGCTGACGCGGTAGAACATATTGTTGCTGCATTTGATCTGAAAAAGTAAAGAAATTTTATTTAGTGCCGAGAAATTTTGGGAGATTTTAAAGAGGTTTACCTTGAATGCATGACGCTTGTCCGTTGTGTTGACGATTGTATGCTTGTTGAGACCTCCTTTGACAGAGTCGAAGGTGCTCGCAGGCGGATCGATGTTGAGAGCCATCCTTGATGCGTAGAGATAGTTTGCTGCTGCCGGAACGTTGAGAATAGCGTGTTATTGTTGGCGGGTTGTTATTGGGGATAAGTCTTGCGCTTTTATAGCAACAAAGCTTCATCTCTTTATCAATAAAACTTACTGATATAAAAGATAAAACAATAACAAGGCACTAGGGTTATGTGCTTTTTTCCTAGTCTACTCTCGTTAACAACACAAGAGGCAGGTTTTCCATCGATGGTTCAACTTTGTTCGACGTCGTTAATAACGCTAATTGTGTCTCATTCACTCACTCGATGATCTCTTTCAAATGGGCACAAGAAAAAAGTCAAGTCGAAAGAGCCCACATTTTTAAAAATTTTAATATCCAATTTTAATATCCAAAGTGTTTTTAAGAATTTTTAAAGTTTTTCTTTACAATTACATATGTACTTTAATTCAAAAATTATTCAAAAATTTAAGCAAAACAAACAATATACTAAATACATTTATTCTTTTCTTTAATATACTCCCTTTCCACTTGTCTCATTTCATTTTATTCTTCTTATCGTTAATTTCTTTCTGGCCTACTAAAATGTTTTTTTATTCCCTCAGTCATGGCCATTAATTGTTCGCATCATTGACGGACTCTTTTTCTTTTAAAAAATTTTTTTGCTTCCGTCTACTAAATTTTGCCCATTCTCTATAGCTTCTTAATGTCTTTTTAATGTAAGTATCTCCCGTCTAAATGAATATATATTAACTACGGTATATTTAGAAGGGAAATTGAAGGAATTGTGGTTGAGGGGGGGGGGGGTTTGTCTCTTATGTTTAAATTTATTGTAAAGTATTTGAAATGGGCCTTGTCATTGAAGAAAGAAAATTTATAAAAATAAAAAAAAATAAAATAAAAAGACCCCAAAATGAATAGAAAAATGAATGAATCCGCGGGTGGTAGAAAAAGAATCGGCTGGATGGCTGTGCTAAGTGCGCTTCTTTTGTATTTACTAGTAAATGCTCCTCCTCAATAGCCTCTCGTTTTATATATATTTAGCCAATAGATGCTTAATAGCTTTGGACTAGTATTTTTGGGGCTTTTTTATATTTTATTTTCTCATTTGCCTCAAAGTGGGAATGTCTTTTTTAATGTTTTAGGGGGGGGGGGCTAAACAAGAATATATTTATTTTTTATATTTTTTTTGTTTGGCAGTAATTACGCTTAGGAATTTGGATTTACTAACCTTGGCATTTAAAAACACTAAAAACTTGGAAAATTATTTTGTCTATAAGTTGGCATTATTTCACACAGCGCAAGCAAAAACTTGGGCAAATAATAGTAAAGTCTTTATAATTTAAATATTTATTTTTAAAAATTTTGTTTAGACAATTCACTAAATCTAAAATATAAATTGAAATATAAAAATCTTATAGTACTTTTCTTTTATTAATTTTCACTTAATTGTCTTAAATTTAATCGTTATTTGCTTATTTTTACTCAAATTTAAACGGGGCTGGTAATCAGTGCTTGGCAGACTTTTTGTTTTGCAGTTTACAACAAAAATTCGAGATAGTTAATTACTAAGCACCATAGGTCGATCGGAACTGACAAAGGTACCGGAAATCGGAACTGTCGGAAATCGGAAATGGCTCAAAAGTCGGAAATCGGAATTCCGATCGACCTCTGCTAAGCACAGACACCCTTCGGAATTTTAATCGCTCAGAAACTTACTTGAGAGTCGGGGGTATTATCCTAAATGTTACTATGTGTATGCCAAAGTTTTTCAGAAATACTCGATATAGGAGATGGCTCAGAATTTATACTTTTCCAAATATATGTATTTGTGTAGTAGTTATTTCCTCTTTTTTTCTTCTCAATTCGACCTTCCTCCCCCTTTTTTAACCACTTTATTTTTCTAGTGCCGATTGTGCGCAAACAAATGTCGCGCTTCGGTTACGGGGTGGAAGAAGAACCGCTATCAAGCTAAACGCTCCAATTAGGGTAAAAAAAGGAAAGAAAAGTAAGGGGAAAGAATTTATTTCTACTATGTATTTTAAGAGTGAAGGGATTACTTAAATATAAATAAATTGTATTTTCAATGACTATGTAGTATTAGTAGTAGATGATGAGCACGACATGACAATTGACTCCCCTTTTTCGATTGGTGATGATGGTAGGTAGTTGGTAGGGGGGGGGGGGGGGGTTGTTGGTGGTGGTGGTGGTGAAATGAAGAATAAATGTTTTATTTGTTAGCTTTTGATTGCTCTTTTTATTTGTTCTCCCCCTTCTCCTTTTTTTAAAAAGAAAATTAAATAATGGTACAAAAGTATTATTTTTATTTATTGCCTAAAGGGAATAAATAAATTAAATTAAGCTTAAATAATTATTTAAATGTTTTTAAAATGTTTGTTTATATAAACATACACAGCAGGGATGTTTTTAAAGAAAACAATGGAAATTTAGGGGATTTTTTCCGGAAACTTAGAATTTACATGTTTTTTACTTCCTTTTATGTCGAGTAAAATCTGAGTAAGGAATAGAATATTTTAGAAAATATTTAAATAACTTTTTTTTCTAAATAATTTTATTTCGATTCTCATTTTTCCTACTCCTTGTTTATGAAATTTTTCAATTTTCTAAATCTACAAAAAATATTAATGGTCAAGTTAAACTAATACTGTATACTCATTAAGGACTTCCTTGGGTCCTTTATTAAAGTAAATATTATTTTGATCTTTATTAATTGTCTTCTTTATACACTCGCTTCACTTAACCCAAAACATTTAAATTTTTAAATCATTCCTCCAAGAATTATTATTCAAAAAACAAACAAAATTAATATAAATATACAATCTCTATGTCACAACTTACCATATATTTATTTACTTTTTAAAAAAAATTTTATTTCGTAACCAAAAATATATCCAAAATTTGACCCCTTCCTTTAAAAACAATTTCCTCCCGTTTAGAAGAGATTTGCATGCAAATTGGCCCCTTTGGCAGAAGCTCATCAAGAGTAGTGAATTGCCTTTTTTGGTTGTCCCCACAGTGCTTAATAATATATTTTTACAAATTTATTGCTTGTTTATTGCCTCTCTTCCCTCTTAAAATATTCTAATCCTTCTTTAACGTCAATCTCTATCTCCAAACATTTATTCTTATGCAATTTGACGATCGGCTGAGAGATTTTGTGAGAAAATATTTAAATAATAGTTAGATTAAAATAACAATTTTTAGAAAAATATAAGTAATCAAGTTTGAGCATCTAAAAATTAATTTTTTTTAATCATAAATAATTTACCACAGGGATCTAGCTGACCCGATTCCCGAAAATCGTGAATTTAATTTTTATGTCGCCGATCCCTGATACATAAAAATAAGTTAATCAACTCATAGGCCATAATTATTAATAGTTTTCTTTTAATTTTGCTGCGAATCTTTTTTAAAAAAATTTATTTTTGTGAAAGCTTAGATATTAATTGTTCTACAGTGCGGAGCATATGTTTAGACTCACTAGAAAATTGTTTTTAAATTCTTAATTTTTATTCAAAAAATACGTTCTATATAGCTATCGAAAGCTCTATTTGTATCTCAATTAATATGCATTTTTCATGAAAATGAAAATTGGCCGAGAAACCTAAAGAGATCTTTAGGTTTATTATTCTTCAAATATTTATTAAATATATTAATTATATATTTTATTTACTCTCATCTCCAATTTTTTATCTTCGAATATGAGAAGTTATTCTTTAGTTGTTTAAGGATTGCATATGTAAAGAGATTGGAATAAATCCGATACCGTTTTCTCCTCCCATTTCCCCCAAAATGGCAAAATTTCCCATAAAAGATGAACCCAAAAAAGAAAAAAACCAACAAGGATAAATGTAGTCAATCTGAAAACATCATTCTTTAAATGATCAAATTTCAATCCTATTTTATTCAGAAAATTAATAAAACAATTAGTGACGTTCAAAAGCATTTAAGTTTGCTGATATATTATCATTGTTACCACCGGGGTCTGGATATGGGATAAACATGGAATTTCTGTTACATCAAATGGTATTCTAATCTATTAATTTACTATCCATGGAAATAACCGAATATCCATTTCCAACTTTCTATTTACCGTATATACTCTATTAATTACCCTGTGTAATTATTATTTTAACTTCTCGCTGGAGGGAGTACTTAAAAAGGCGGGATACATAATTGAGGGAGGGAGGGTAATTAATAGGAAATATACAGTAATATGTCAGTTTAATCTATTTATCTAAATTTCTGTTTTTTCTATCAAATAACCAAAATCTACAAATAAAATATGTATAAACAAAGGAATGATATTAAACACAAAAGAAGGAGGAATACCTATGAGTACAAACTTCTTATGTTTGTAGTTATTGTTCTATATAACAATAAATGTATTTTTATTGACTGTCAATCAAAATCATCGATGCAAAAAAAAAGAATTAAAAAAAAATAAAGGGCATGGAATTACAAGAAAAGGAAGGGCAACTTTTAGAGACAATCAACACTAAGTCGGAACACACATCCAATTTACTCCTTCCAATCTATCGGTATTTTGCTTCAATTTTTTTATTGACCACACACTTTCCTCAATTCATCATTTTTATATGTTCTCTTTTACCTATCTAATATTCAACCACTTCCATCATTTTTTTATTGTTGTCAATTTGCGTGTCCTCACACTTTTAGTTGGATTTATTGTCTTCCTTTTTAAATGTCGAAGATGGCAATGAAAGAAGAACAATGGGGGAAAGTATGTTGGACAATAAAAACTATGTACATTTTTGCCGAAAAGAATTTTTGAAAAAGAGAAGAGCTCTAAATATATTTTTATTTTTTCATTAACTATAAGAGCCGACAACCAACTAACAACAATAACCACTCTTCAATTGAGGACAGGCATTTGTAGAAATACCGAGAGAGAGAGAGGGGAAAAGAATTTTTGCCCTTAAATTTTAGCCGACAATTCCTCAATTGGGCGCATCCGTCATTTAAAAAAGGAAGAACCTGGCAATTGACAAATAGAACCAATTATATGAAAGATGGATGACATTAAAGGAATGAGGATAATAAAAGGGGGAGAGAGAGGAGGGGGATTACAAGGTGTGAAAATGATTTTAGAAAAAATATATATATTACAGTAATATTTAGTATATATTTTACAATTTTTGCCCTTAATTGAGTGCATCCGTCATTTTATCGTTTTGCATCTTCTAATTTCTTAAAAATCATAAATGAGTAAAACATAGCCTTAATTAAGTCTGAGGTCTAATAATCGAGCAATTTAATGGAAAAACAAAGAAATCAGAAATATTTTTTATTATTCTTTCTTTTTTCTAACAATTGACACGCAAAATTGCTTCTTATTTCCCCAAACATGCCAACATACTTCTTTGGCCTTGGGCATTTAAAGTAAGCAAAAATAAGGGGAAACTTTGTTTTCTAAAGGGGAAAACTGTATTAAGGGATAATTAAAAATAATAATTTTTTAGAAAAATAAATAAATATTTAAATTTAAGTAGAAACTATGTTGGATATTTTATAATTAATCTCTTTAATTTATTCTTTTTTTTGCTTAAAGGGAGAACAACAATAATATTTTTTTAACTTCTTTCCCTTAAAGGATTATTTTTTAAATTTATTTTTAATTAGTAATTAGGGATTTATTTAATTATTATGAAATAAATTCTAAGAAAAACAAGAGACGGTAGTAGTCAAAAACACGAGGCTAAAAAACTTTAATCAGGTTTAAATTAGCAAAATTCGATTTACTCGATTCTGATATACCTGAGAGTTTTAGCATAGACAATTTTAAAGCATGTGGGGAGGGGTGATATATTAAAATGTTGGGGGATAAGAAGAAAAAAACTAAAAATTATTCTTTTATTTTCTTCTAATCTTTTCACACTTAACTGATTTTAACCTTTCCCAGCCTTAATTAGTCTTGATTTTTGTTTCGTCTTTTATTTTCCCACACATACCAAAAATTATATTAATTAATTAATTAATTAAAAATTTAAATAAAAAGTAATTTAAATTATTTGGGCGGAGTTTTAAATTAGTAAAAGAAGTTAAGTAAAAGAGAAGAAAAAGAGGAGGAATTTTAGAAATTGACATTGAGCTAGACATAAGATACGATATTGGGGGTGGTAACAGAAATGAGAATATATATTTAATGCTTAATAACACGTCAAATAATTTTTTTTATTTATTTTATTTTTAAAAATTTTTTTAAGTTAAAATAAAGAGATTACTATTGTTTTTTTTAACAAAAGCTAATTAATGTTTTTTGTACTTTTGTTATGAAACTTTCAAAATTAGAAAAATAATATTTAAGGATTTTTTAAAATTAAAAGTAGAATTAAATTTAGAATTATTTTATTTAAATTTTTTATGAAATATTGGAAATAGGTAAATATTTAAATATATTTACTCTAAATAATTATTTTTAAAAATATTCCTGTGGAGTTTATATATTTTTGAAATTTTTATTTTTCTATTGTTGCCGAAATCAGGGCATTTATTTCAACCAAAATTTGTGTATTTATAACTGTCATATTTTAATAATAAATACTTTTACCTCAAATTAGTTTTTAAATTATATTTTATTTTCCTTTTTGTTAACTAATTGGTGTGTTATTAAATAAACAAATTTTTGATATTTAATCCAATACTAGGAAAAATTTATAAAATTCGTCCAAAAAATTATTTCATTTTATTTTAGAGTACGGATTTCGGGCAAACCAGAAAAATTGTTCGATGATCGGCGTATGTTGTTGAAATACAACTTTCGAAACCTTAAAATTAAAAAACATTTCCTCAAAAATCTTTTAAATTCAATTGTTCTTCAACTTTTCTTCAGTCTTTTATTTTCTCCTTATAAAATCCTTTATTTTATTCAACCTCAGTGGTTAATTAAAAATTTGTTTAATTTAAAAGGCGTTGGAAAAATACAAAAATATTATTTTTAATGGACAAATAAATTCAATATACCTATATATACATATATACTTGTAATCACTTAAACAAATATATTTTTTAAAAAACAAAATTTCTTTGCAAAATTTTGGCCATTTTTAGTGCGCGCGAGATGATCTAGCTTCTTTTACTTATTTCCGGCTTTTCCTTTTCACTCAAAGAAAAATGGCGAATTTGTTTGGTTTGGGGATCAATTGTCGCTTTGAATTTTATTTTTATTTTTTTTACCTGCTAACATTAACCGGCGAGAAATTACAACCTTTATACTTTTGAAATAAAAAAAATTGGGAAAAATTTTAATAAGAAATACTGGGGACGCATCCAAAGTAATTTTTTCGGAAAAATTTTATTTTTAGATTGAGCTATCCCTTCTCCCCCTAATTCCTTTCTATAAACCTGGATTGTCAAGGAATTTTAGAATCTTTACCTTCTGATTGCCCTCTGACTTCCATCAAACTGATCAGCTCCCCTATAAATTTCTTTGTGTTATCCAAGGATGTCACGGGTTACCCGGACCCCGACCAGACTTTTTTCCCAACCCATGACATCTTTGGTATAATCTACCATCTTTTATGCTCCCTCACCAAAATCATACTTTTATTTTATTAAAAAACTAGAATTTAATTAAAAACATTTCCTTAACTATTATTTACACAAAAACTTTATATTATTCAACATAAATATTTTTAGACTTTCATTGCTTGTTTAAATATTTATATCAAAAATTCCTTTTCCCACTTGACTTTTTTTCTCGATTGATATATCCTTTTTGTTAATATAAAATATTTTTGTAATCCAATCCAATATCTGTCTCTCAACAATTGGAAGAAAAAGCAATAAAAGAGAAGAAGAAGAATATATCCTTTATATTTTTGCGCTAGTGTTTGTGTAAGCCTTTATTAAATAAATTTATATATCTTTATTTATAAATCCCTTTACATATCTCCAACACAATTTCCCACAATTCTTCAAATATCTTCCTCTTATTTAAAAATAAAATTTATTTTGTTACAGGTCTCTCCTCTATTTTCCAGATAAATCTTCCTAATTTTTAAGCTTCCATCAGTAATGTTAGAAGGATCGAAGCACAAAAACTATTTATTTCGATTTTATAGAATTTGTTTTTAAATTATTCCATTTTAATCTAAATTATTTATTCTTTCCCTCCAATCACTCAAAAATTCCATTCATAATTAAAAAAACAAATACTAAAATATACATTATCCTCTAAGCCCAACTCCAATAATAATATTATTTTTCTAAGAAAATCCTCTCCATTCAATTTATTCTTTTCTTCTCTTCCTTTTTTGCTTTTAACGAAAAGCTCCGATTATTTTATTACAACATTAACAAGCATAAAGAGATACTTTACTTCCCCTTTTTTTATATAAAAATATTTTATTTATATTTAATTTAATCAGATTCTTTTTCAAAACTTTTTTAGATTTTACTTTTCTTAACGAATTTTATTGTCAATATTGCCAAGTATATATTAACAATTGAGTAAACGATATTTATTTAAAGAAAACTTTATTCCCTTCACAAAATATTTACTTAAATAAATCTCTCGTTCCAGTCCTTGCCATAAACACAATTCGAATTTTCCACAGCAAAAGAATAAGGAAGGGGTACACCCCAAGGTACCGCAAGGCCAAGGTCCTGGATTCGACAACTTTGAAGAAAGTTATAGCTCGGCGGACCTTGAGCTCGCGGTACCTTGGCCTGCTCCCACAAGAAAGTGCCAATCTCAACAGGAACATGTTCCAATTGTTCCCGAAATTATTTTAAATTTAATTAGCCTTATCTCTTACCAAAATTCCTTTCAAATAAATCTCAAAAAAAATTTTTTTTTCTCAATCATTCCCACAAATTCACCTACTAATACATATAGGTATTTGGGTTTTTCTCAAACATTTTTCTATCACATCTTTTTACCAAAAATTCCATACCTTTCCATTTTCTCATTGCTTTTGGCCTTCACCCCTTGTCGGGTTTACATTAAATACATATATCCCCCTCTTTTAACTTTAATAATTATTTACCCCTAAAATGTTGTTCTTGTTTATTCTTTTTTTTATTTTCTTGTTCAATTTTCCCACTTTTAATTTATTTTGTGGCGGTTAATACATATACATAAATATTTTTAAGATGAATTGCTTGACATTGCGCCATTCATTCTCCCTCTCTCTCTTTTTTTTGTTAATTTTTTTTTCTTAAATTTTCCCGCATTCATTCCCTACTGTCACATCATCATTGAAAAAGAATCATCACTTAGAGAAAGAATTGTGTTGCACATTTGTGTGTTGATGGTGGTGTAAATGTGTAACTGGTAAATGTAAAAATGTAATCGCGCCCGGCGCTACTTAGAAGAAATGGAGGCGTGAAAAATACTTTTTTATAAATATATTTCCATTAATGGACTCGATGTTTATTGGGTGAATACCTAATAGGAAAATGAAACAAAACGAGTAAATGGCGCCAGTTTTTGGGGGAAAATGAGAAAGTAGAGGAGGGAGGGGGGGGGGGGGGGCTGAAAGAGAGATGCGCACATTGATGTATTTGAGAGAAGTTGTTGGCCTTTTTTGGTTGGTTTTATGTTAAATATTTTTTTAGAAAAAGAGAGGTGAAATTCGAGTGTTTGTTGTCAACACCCATTTTGTTAATCATCAAAATGATGGCCAAAAGAGGGGAAATTATTTAGACAAATTTGTGTTGACTTTTAATTTTACCTATAAATTTAAATTTAATTGAGAGATTGTTGGAAAGGAAAGAAGAAATTTTAAAAAGAAAATTTTAGAGGGGAGAAAACTAAAAACAAAAAGAAGACTGTAGATTTTTAGTTAAATGTGTGTTTAGTTAATGTTTTTGTTTGTTAATTATGAATTGAAGAATATAAACATGAATTATTTGTTTATAATTCTTAATATTATTAAATTATTTAATTTGGAATTTTCTCCATAATTATGACAACCTCCCCACATTTTTCTCAAATTTCCCGTTTCTTATATCCTAATCCATAAATATTAAAAAAACTTCTGGCTTCTTTATTTTTAGCTAAGTTAATTATTAATTCCTATAAAAATTAAAAAAGGTTTTTTATAAATTTTCTCATTACTAGGGCTAGGATTTTTAGGCACACTGCCGAAATAGGCACCAAAATCCGAAAAAAGGCATAATAAGCAACTCATTACTATCCTACTCATCACTATTTCTATATTTTTATTTCTCCAATTTTTATATCAAAAATATAAATTAAAATTAATTAATTACAATATATCGTTTCCATTAAATAAATATATTTTCTCTTATTGGTTCCTTCTCAATGTCACGCCCCTTCTCTTTTAAATCTTCTTATTTTCTCCCTTATCTATATCTACTAAATATAATACATACTTCCTTCCCTCCTTTTTTATTTTTTTCTGTTAAAATATAATTTATTTTTTAATTTTTATTTAAGAAATATTTTAGATAATGTGCCATATTTTTAAATTAAAATAATATTTAATTAAAAAAAGATTTTTCCAATGGACCCAGAAAAATTTAAACAATTTTTCACAACTTTATTAATTGCCAAACAACAACGAATTAAAAATGTTTGTGAATCTGGGCAGGAAGAAAATAAACAAGAAATTTTAAACGAAGCTTCTTGTAGTGAACAATTAAAAGAAGATGAAACAACAAAAACAACATTTACTCCCCCTCCCCAATCCCCTTCTAGCTCAAAAAGTAAAAAATAATGTTTTTTAAATTTAATAAAATGACAATAAAAAATAAACAGAAAGGAACATTTTTGTCATTAAATCCAAATTATAAAATTTAGTAATTAATTTTAATAACTAGTAGAGATCGGACAAAAGACAAAATCAAATATTTGATCAAATAATTTGAAAATTATTTGATATTTGAAAAAATTTGATTTCCCCCAAAAGTCATCAAACAAATATTTGATCAAATAATTTGAGAATTATTTGATATTTGAAAAAATTTGATTTGCAAAATCAAATATTTGATCAAATATCAAATTTTTTTAAAAATTTCGGAATACCATATAAATCTGTGTATTTGATTGTATATTCGGGATATTAGGATATGAAGATGACATCGGAGGATTAAGATGGGTGTGGAGGGATTAAGGGTGATATGTATGAGTGGATTAAGGGTAATATGAGGGGATTAAGGTAATATGAGGGTATTAAGGGTAATATGAGAGGGATTAAGGGTGATATGAGGGATTAAGGGTGATATATAAAGGGATATAACGTGAGCCGAAATAACAGACTCAATCCAACTATATCCCTCAAATCCGTCGATATCCATCCCAAATCACACTACATCCAGTATATCCCCCTTAATCCCAAAATCCCTCCAAATCTGTCAATATCCATCCAATGTTAATCCCTAGAAATTATTCAAATGCTCTAATATCCTCCTAATCTTCCCAATCCCCTGACATATATTTTGATCGCCAAATCCATCTATATTCCCCTTAATCCACCTAAATTCCTCTTAATCCTCCCAAATCATCTAAAACGATCTCCCTCTAATCCCTCAATATCACTGATAATCGCCAAAATCCCTTCTAAATTACTATACAAGGGGGACTCAATCATGCAGACTCAACTATGAAGTAATATAGGGATATCATGTGCATCGGGATATGTTCTGATACGCTAAATAATTTGTCCTTGAGCAAAAATCTGGGTTATCATATCGATTTTATAAGGAAATATGCCATCTTTACATGCTAAAAACGAAAATCAAATAAATTTTCAAATTATTTGATATTTGATCAAATATTTGATTTTTCAAACCTTCATCAAACAAATATTTGATCAAATTATTTGATATTTATTTGATATTTGAAAAAATCAAATTTCTTCAAAAACTCATCAAACAAATATTTGATCAAATAAAATCAAATAAAATTTGGTCAAATATTTGATTTTATTTGACCAAATATTTGTTTGGTCCGATCTCTAATAACTAGAATAAAATTTTACAAAAAAAGGATTTTGGATTTTTAAAATTTAAATTTAACAAATTTATAAATTTGGATAGCTAATAGGTGGAGTTCTAAACGATATTCTTAATAATGGATATACTCAGTTTTTGATTTAATTTTTCCATCCCCATGGGTTTATGTAAAATTTAAATTCGACAATAATTATTTAAAATTCATAGAATATTTATCAAAATTATTATATTTTTTATTTAAAATTTAACAGAAATTGAAAACAAAAATATTTTCAATTCAACATCAACATCTGTTGCTATTAGCAATGATGGTATTAATGAAGAACAACCATTATTGTCCATGTCGCAGCAAAATTTGCCGACGAGAGGGTATACCTCAATTAAATTTGAAGAAGACAATGAAAATTTAATAAAAAAAGAAGAGGAGGGTAATGTGCCGAACATTTTTTCTCCTCCAAATGGAAAGGAAGAAGAAGAATATAATAATAAATCTGACTGTAATACAGAAGAACAGACGGGGAATGGGCATGAAAATATTAATGACTTAAATGGTGGAAATGGAAGGGCAAAATATAGGTGTGGATTTAGGGGAAATTTAGTATATTTCTAAATAGGAAATTTAGATTACGGGGAGAATACAGTTAATATTTTGATTAGTGTGGGGAAATGAGAAGGGTATATTGTAGGAGTATGCCGTAAATGCTCGAATAATTACCCTGAGTAATTATTGTTTCGACCTTTCGCTGGAGGGGGTAATTAATCGGGAGGAGGTACTAAATTTGGGGTATATCTCTAGATGAATGGATATTCATTGTATTTTTCAAAATCGGACTGATATGATGCTCCAATTCGGCGGATATCCTCCATATTTTCTGAGATAAAATATCACTAATTAAATTTTTAAACATCGCTGGATAGTTACACAAATGTGAAAAAAATAAAACTTATAAGATTAGAACGTGTCTTATCCTTGAACTAATTTTAAAAATCTTCTAAATCGAAGAAAAATATTTTAAAATATTCAAAAAACATCAGAAATGGCCTTTCCCGACGTTTTTCAAAATTGTCTTTAAATAGAGTTCAAATTTATCCAAAGAAGCCTCCAAGGAAGAAAATGTTAAGCTCTGGTCCCGATTTAAGGTAAAATAGATTTATTAGGTGATTAATAAGAAAAGATTCATTTAAAATTTAGTATTTCCGATTAATTCTCCTTCAAAAAATATTTTTTCAATTATTTTTAATAGTTATTCTTGCTCTCCAACGGTTGTTTGTGAAGAACATCCACCACCACGAATAACATCCCAAACACCTACAAGCCCCTCAAATAATCAAAAAGAGATTAAAGATGAAAAACAAAATAAAGATAATGAATCTAATAATAATATAATAAATTCAGAAAATAATTTGTTAATAAAATCAGAAGAAACACAAAGAGCACAGGCTATTTGTATGCAAAGAATGCTTTTTGCTATGGCTTGTGCTCAACAACAGCAACAACAAATGCAGAGGTAATTTATTTTTTAAAAAATAATATAAATAAAAATTTGATTTTTATTTAACATAAAAATGTTTAAAAAATTTTTTAAACGAGAAAATATTTTTTCTGGAATTTTTTTAATTTTTTCTCTCTCAAAAATAAATTTATCTTTTGGTTGTTTATATTTTTCTTTCTTCTATTCATTCATTCTTTTGTGGTTAAGTCGGTAGTGTTCTTGTCTTCCGTTTTATTGCTTCGCAAGCTGTGATTATTTACGCATATCTGACACCTCTTATGTCAGAATCTGTTTAGATTCGATGATTCTGTATATGCTGAGGAATTTATGAGCTTGTTGAAATTAATTTTTATTTGTATTTTTAATGAAAAATTAAATATTTGTTGCAAGTTTTTGTCTGTTTTCTCTTTCTTTCGAATTAAATATTTCTTGAAATCGAAGATTAATTCATCCTAAACCTCTATTTTATCCACCCATTCAAAAAATTTTTTAATTTTTCAACTCAAGTATTTTCCGTTAAAAGTTCCTTATATTTTTTAAATTTACCTTGTTTTACCTCAGACTTTATTTAAATTTAATTTCTAATTTTCAAAATCAGACCTTCACGTTCATCAATTAGTCCTTCTAATGGATGTGAAAAGTCTACATCTATACCAACATCTAATAATCGTGAACAACAACTTCCACCTGGGACGAGCTCAAGTGGACTTTTCCCTTCTGGCCCAGTATTTCCTCCTTTTCCAATGGCTGCTGCAGCTGCGGCAGCTTTTTGTGGAATTAATTCAAATACAATTGAACAGGTTTTTGATTGAAAATGTGGATTCTCTTTGAAATTTCCCAAAAAAAACAGATTTTAAAAACCTTTGAACAATTAGAAGAAGCTAATGAAATTGAGCAATTGGGACGTTTTCTGTTTTCATTACCTCCTCCACTTCAAATAAAAATTGGAATGACTGAACCTGTATTGAGGGCTAAAGCTTTGATTTGTTATCATAGTGTAGGTTTTGCTAATATATATTAAGAGGATTATTGAATAATTTTGAGGGAAAAATTAATTTAAATAAATATTTTTTGAAGTTAAAGATGGAAAATGAAAAATCTATTATTAAATTTTCTAACATAAATATCTCCTCTAAAATAAATGAGATAGTTAACCGTTCCTTATAAAATTTCCGATACTTATTTGGCCCCCCGTCAACTTTTGTTTAAGAGGTACTGAATGGTTAATGATTAGTACATTGATAGAGCTAGTAGATCATTAGTAAAGATAGATCCTTAGTAGATCATCGAGCTGAGTCTAATGACACAAGAATCGGTTCGTGGGAGCATATCAAAGCTGAGTTACAGGGGTCGAAAAATGTTTAAAAAATGAGGTGAAAATGGTCAATATTTTGATCAAAAAATTGATTTTAAACCGGATTTCCTTCATATTTAAAAATTAGTGACATAAATGTTTTTACTCACTAACTTCCTTTATTTATTTAGGGTAACTTCAAGGAACTTTATAATATATTAGAAAATCACAAATTCTCTCCAAATTCTCATTCCAAATTGCAACTTTTATGGCAAGAAGCTCATTACCAAGAGGCCGAAAAAATTCGTGGAAGGTAAAAAATAAATAAATAAATAATTTAATTTATTTATTTTTTCAATTTTTAAGAGGACTTGGTCCTGTGGATAAATATCGTGTAAGGAAAAAACATCCTTGTCCTCCAACAATTTGGGATGGAGAACAAAAGACTCATTGTTTCAAAGAAAAAACAGTACTTGGATTTTTAAAGAATAATTTTTTATAAAAATTTTTGTAGAGAACAATTCTACGAAAGTATTATTTACAAGATTGTTACCCAAATCCTGCAAAGAAAAAAATTCTTGCCGAAGAAACGGGACTAAGTCCAACACAGGGTGAATAAAAAATTAAAATTAATTATTTTTAACTTTTAATTATATAGTTGGCAATTGGTTTAAAAACAGGCGTCAAAGAGATCGGGCAGCCACTCATAAACATAAGTAGGCAACAAGGAAAAATTTATTTTTAAATTTTTTAACTTCCAATATAGAATGAGTGCAAATATGTTACCTGCCGGTCTTTCTCTATCAGGAAAATTATCTTCCAGAAAAAAAGCATCAAAAAGTGGTTGTTCTTTTGAGGATGATGAACAAAATAATTTAACAAAAAATTCAATGGATATCGATTCTAATTCTGAAAATTCTGAGATAATTTCTGATGAAAATTGTGGAGATTCTTTGATGTCGAGTTTGGATGAAGAGAATGAATTAAATGAAAGGGAGGAAGGTGATCAGAAAAAGGAAAATCCTGTTAAAAATGTTGGATTTAATGGAATTGCTAGTGAGTTGGAAATTTATTTTAAAAAAATAAATAAATAATGTGAGTCATTCTTTATTTCTTGGTTGTTAAGTCTTTTTTGACATGTCCAAAAATAGTCATAATTGCTGAAAGGAAATGTTGGATTTCTATACTTTTACTTAAAATTTTTTAATAAAACACTTAATTAATTTTTTCTTTAAAAAGATTTACTCGGCCTTATTCATCAAAATAAACAAGAACAACAACAACAAAATATTCCAGTACCCCCCTCCCCCTTTCCTCCTTTTCCTCCAAATTTTTCTGCCAACGGAACAGCTTTGCATCCAATGCAAATATTAATGCTTATGCAATCAGCTGCAACACAACATGCTTTATTCCAACAAAGACAACAACAAGTCCAACAAGTATTGAGCCAAAATGAGGTGAAAATAATTTAAAAAAGTGTTAACTAAATAATCATAGAAGTAAAAAGCTCTTAGGCCTTTCACCCATCGGAAAATTTTAAAAGTTTCCTCTCTATCCAAAATTAATGAACTTCTATACAGAAAACACATTCTTTTTTTAAATAATTCAAAAAAAATTCATTTTCCAGACTTCCTCTTCAACATCAGAACATTCTCCAACCTCCACTAATTCTTCCCCAACCCAAAAAATGATAGAAAACAATGGAAACAAATTAGGAAAGAAACCTCATCAGAAAAAGAAATCAGGAAATGGACCAAAAACAAAACCATTTAAATTATCTATTGATCAAATTTTAGGCCAAAAAACTTCCGGATTTTTATAATTTTAATTTGTAAAGAAATATTAGGGTTCTTCTCTTCTTTCATCCTCCCCTCTTAATTTTACATAATAAAATAATTTTCTTAGAGAAAAAATTAAATTTCATTCCCTACAGAACCCTAATCATAATTAAGAGCAGTGCTTAGACGCTCGTACCAAAATTCGACTCGTACTTTGGTAATAAGTGCGAGCAATTCTGAAATTTCCAAGCACTGATTAAGAGAACTTTTTTATTTTTTAATATTAAACAAAAAAATTATTCGAATTCTTGTTATTTTATATGTATTATTTTATAATATTTTAGAATAAAAAATTTAAAAAAATTTATTTTTAAAAATATTTTTATAATATTTAAAATTCTTTTTACAGTAAATCTTTACATTTTCCTTTGTGTGAAGATTTTGTATCGCAACGGTATTTTCCTTTAAAATTCTGAAAAAAAAATTTTTAAACACCTCTAAATCCGTCTTCTCAAAATTAATTTCTAAAAAATTTTTTTAAATTTACCCCATCATTACACCAAGCACATTCAGAATATGCTTGAGAAATACACAAAGAAAATAATAAATTTCCTTGACAAATTTGTTGTTTTGCTTGTTCCTCGCTAACAACACCTTTTGGGGCAGATAATGTTTTCCCTGTTGTTTTAGCCAAAGAATTTTCTTTAAAAAAATAAATTTTTTCAATTTCAAAAAAAAATATTTTTTACCAAAATTTTGAATTAAAAATATTCCAATAATAAACAAAAATAAATTTAATAAATGCATTTTTGCTTGAATTGATAGAAAATAGAACAGAAATTGTTTAGATAAATATATTAATTAATGAACATCCTTCAAACAGCTGGATTGTTTATAAGGGGAATTAAAAATCAATGAGAACAGTTGTTCCCGGTAAAATAAAATCTCGAATTTTTTTCTAATAAATATGTACAGGATTTTTTTGTATTATTAAGACATGGAGGTATTGAAAGGTTTCGGTCTTTTTCAAAATGCAGGAAATTATTCATTTTAATTTTAATTATTAAGTAACGAAAATTAAAAAATAAATTTTTTTTTAATTTTTACTTCCTATAGCGAATATTGTGTGTACATTTTGGATAAAGGATGCTGCAAGACCAAAATGACGAGGCTCTCGAAAAATATGAAAATAATATAGTATAATTTCTATAGAACCACATTCAGTCCCATTTTTCAATCCTCTAAGTATGTCTAATAATAACTGGCTTAAAAATAGAACTGCGGTTCTATTAAAAATTTCACTGTACATAGTTAAAATTTTGTAAAATAAATTTACTGAAATGTTGATATTTTATGTATAAAAGCTGATAACTCAATTCATACAACAAAATATAACTTCACCTAAAACCTAGACAGCTCATTTCTCGAACGCTCCAATGGCTGATAAGCGCAAATCTAGCTATTCCAAGAAACGGGAGTCGTCATTGACAAAGAAGGATGCTCAGGACAAGATCAAAAAGCTCTTCGACCAGAAACTTCAAGGGGCTACGGGAAGTCAGCGAATTACTGTTAGTTGCTAGACAATCTTTTGAGATAAAGTTTCTTAAATTTTCAGGTCTCAGCAGGAGCTCGTTCAAGATCGACGATGGCTCGAGAATCGCGTGCGATGTCTGCCGTTGGGTCCAACAAAATGTCAGTAAAGAAGGATAACATGGATTCTAATCAGAGGGCAGAGGCTGGTGCTTTGGAAGCTGTGAGTTTTATTGAAAAATAAAGATTTGGAAGATTGCTAGGATATGGGGTATCTGAACAAAATAATATTTCCTTTTTGTTTTTAGCATCTGCGTGCTATTCAGCCTTTCAATGAGTGTTGGTTTGTTGAAAGCACAATCAGTGCTGGTACATATGGTGTTGCTTTTCGTGTGTTACACAAAAACGAAAAGACCAAAGCAGTCATCAAAGTTGCGAGAAGTTTGTCTGGAAGTGCCAATTCTGCTGCTGAATGGGAAGCTTTTGTTCTTGAGAAAATGTGGAGAAGGGTAGGGAATCTTTGACATTTTTTAAAGACACCCTAATTTTAAAGGAGCCTGGAGCGAATGTTGTGCGTATTTTGGATAAAGGAATGCTGCAAGACCAAAATGACGAGGCTCTCGAATTTATGGCTTTGGAATTTTGTGACACTTCTGTGCGTGAATACATTAATGGGGCCAAAGGATTTGAGCGTAAAGAACGTGTTTGTCGTGTGGCTTTAGGTTCTCTGAAGGGATTGTATGATCTCCACGCCAACGGGTTTTTGCATCGTGATATGAAGCCAGGTGTTTATTTTTTATAGGGCTATTTCGATAAACGTGGGAATTTTTAGGCGAATTACTCAACAGAAATTTCTTAATTACATTCTTTTTCAGATAATATGGGAATGATCACTAAACCCGATTTGGATCCTGTTTGTGTTCTATATGATCTTGGAATGGCTAGAATGTATACAGATGGAGACGGAAATGTAAGAGAAATTTACAAGAATATTTTATTTGATCTTTATTTCTTTCAAAGCTGCGAACACCTCGAACAATCTGTCCGTTTCGTGGAACTCCTGAGTGGGCATCTGGACATTCAATCAAAGGCAGAGAACAGGTAGAAAAGAAATTTAAAATAAAATTCCCTCAATTATTTTAGACTCGTTTTGACGATCTTGTTGGTTGGTTCTATGTAATGGTGGAGCTGTTTGATCAGTCAATGATTGATGATACTTCGTTGCCTTTTCCTTGGGATTTTGTTACGGATAAGAGTACTCCTGTGAGTTTTTAAAATTAATTTGCTTAAAATACATTTCTCCATCTTAAAGGCTATGCGTTATCTAAAGTCAATTTATTCGCCTGCTCGTCTTTTGCTCAAACGATGGTCAGTTTTAAAAATTGATAAAAAAAAAAGCATCTTATTTTTTAGTCCACCACAATTCAATTCAATCTATATGTATTTGATGTGTGCTAATCGAAGTAATGCTCCTGACTACGATTATATTGCAAACCTTGTTGGAACTGCAATAGAGCTTAGCAAGGCTTATAGCATTAAACAAGAAGAGGAAAAGGCTAGCCTTAATAATGGAAATGATGATGTTGAGGAAGGTGAAGATACTATTGGAGAGGAAGTGGCTAAGAAACCTAAGGGGAAACGAAAGTCTGCGGAAAAGACTGCAAAAGAAGTGAGTAGTAAATGAAGGAAGAAATTGAATTTGTATATTGTTTGTTTGTTGTATATCTAGTATCCAAATCCTAATTGTAATTGTAAATTATTTTTCTCTATATTTCCCTCGTCTTTTTCTAAATGCGTCAGTAATAAATAAATTTTTTGTATTTTGATAATTTTTATGGACATATTTTGGCACTTTTGGAGCTTAAATAGAATCCTGATCAAATTTTCAGACTTAAATTTGTGGCTCTGATTATGAATTAAGATCGAGTAATTTAAATACTTGCTTAACTGTAGAATTGTTTGCCTTAAATCGCCCTTTACCGGGGAAAATTTTATTTTGGCATAATGTTTTAAATTATTTTTTTGCAAAATAAAAATTTTTTTTGGTGGTGGGCTAAAAATCTTCGGTTTTGTTTTTCTAATCCCACGAGCGTTAGGACGCGCTTCGCGCGTCCTAACGCTCGTACAACACAGTAGTTAACCACCCCACTTTGTTTCCCCGTTTACCGCACATTCCTAAAGGTGTGGGAGGGGTCCGCAAAATTTCTTAAAGGATTTGAAGGGGTTGGGGGCGGAGTCAATGGATTTTAGGGGACTTTCCAAAAGGATTTGAATGGGGCCCTTTGATCTTGCCGCTTTCCCGCAATCCCAAATTGTTTCCCTTTTGATCTTGCCGACAAATCCCAAATTGTTTCCCCTTTGATCTTGCCGCGTGTAAAAATCCCAAATTGTTTTCCCTTTGATCTTGCCGCTTGTTAAAATCCCAAATTGTTTCCCCTTTGATCTTTCCGCAATCCCAAATTGTTTCCCCTTTGATCTTTCCCGCAATCCCAAATTGTTTCCCCTTTGATCTTGCCGACAAATCCTCAAGGTGCGAAAATTCACACCTTTTTTTTTCTTTTATCTCGCCGACAAAACCAATTTGCTCCAAAGTGTTGGGAGAGGGGTCCGCAAAACACAAGGGGATTTCCTTTGATCTTGCCGACAAAATCAGTTTGTTCAAAAGTGTCGGGGGAAGGGTCCGAGAAACAAAATTTGACAATCTTAAGGTGTTAATTTTCACACCTTTAAACACTTTGATCATCCAAGGTATGGGGGAGGGGTCCGACGAAACCAAATTACCGCACTAGGAGTGCGGTAAATCGTCAAGGTGTGAAATATCACACCTTTTTTTCCTTTGATCCTGACGACTAAATCAATTTGTTTAAGGGTGTCGGGGGAAGGGTCCGAGAAACAAAATTTGACAATCTTAAGGTGTTAATTTTCACACCTTTAAACACTTTGATCATCCAAGGTATGAAAGTTCACATCTCTAACTCTATTTTTGATGTACTTAATGTGTGAATATTGACACGTTTTTCAGTTGATTAAACTCTTAACTGGTTGAAAATACCTAATTTTATTTGTGAATATTTTGGACTTTTAATATTAAAAATTATCCCTAAACATTCTCGAACCGTGACAACTAATGAATATTACGAATCAAAACCGCTACCTGCTAAGCTACAGAGGAACATTTTTATTGCAATTTTTTGCTTTTTAAAGCTTTTAAACTATTTTAACATGCATGCATATTAAATTAGTCAAATTTAAAATGGCGTCGCTTCTCTTTTTTAAACAAGCGTCGCTTCTTTTTTAAAAGAGCGTCGCTTCACTTTTAATTGATTGAGTATAAATACCCGAATAAAACTTAAATCTTAAACTGAAAAAATGATTTTCAAAATAATTTTAATACTATATATGATTTATAATGTTACTAGCGAAAATAAAAGTTTATCTGATTTTAAAAGATGGCAGTGTGAGAGAGCTATAACTGTATTTCGAAAAATATCCCCATCTGTATATTTCACGGATATTTTAAATGTGAGTGTACCTGAAGACATGGATTATAAAATAACTTGGACCCCTTACGGTCATGCTTGGTACGTTTGGGATGAGAAAGCAAAATCTATTATGCCAATGTATATGGGATTTCCCATAAGACCTAAGCCAGAAAAAGATGGTATATTATATTCTGGATGGGTATTCATAAAAGAAACTAGCTCATCAGTTATTGAATTTTTCAAAACGATATTCAGTCCAATAGCAGAACTAAAATTCCAAAGAGGGGTGTTTAGAAGGTAGACTTCAAATCAGTTTATTATTACCTTATCTAATCAGAAGGGGCGTGGTCTAATTATGGAGTATAAAAACAGAGCTGATGTATGAATTTTATTTCCTTTTGCTCATTTTTAAAAATTTTGTTAAGATGAACAATAATAAAAATCTAACTCGTCAAGTTTTACCTGAAGTAGAAATTAGCATTAATTTGAATGGAATAACGATTTCAAGTGAGCGTTTAACCCCTTCTCGTTTTGTACCATATGATATAGCTGGCAAATGTCGTGAATGTAAAAGTACGGAAGCTGAAGTGGATTTTATTGTCACCAAAGATGGTGTTACTATCTTTTGCACGCGTATTTCAGGAACTCGTTATGTACCGTTTGATCTAACTTATGACTTACCAGGAATATGCTTCTTTCGGGTAGATATTTTTTAGTCTTTATCTATTATATTTTATAAATTAAGATTAAGAACAAAGGCCGCGTATTCAATATCCCATATGGCTCTGTAAAACCACAGCCACAGCTTCCAACTCAACAACCGACACAACCAGCAACTCTAAGCCAAAATACAATGTCAGAAAAACAGAATAAACCAAAGCAATCTATTAGTACACAAAAATCTACAAAACATACAATTGAAAATATCCTCAAAGACAAAAGTAAAGAAAATAATGAAAATGTTTTGCTTAATGAATTTTTTGATAGTCTCGATGCAGCAACAACTGGAATTCCATCACAGATTGATAAGATGAATAATTTGAAGAAACAGTCTACAAGGATGGAAGAAGAGGAGATGGCTGCTATCGAAACATTATATAACATACCTCGTTAATTTTTCTTATTTAAACCAAAAATTATTTTATTTTTCAATTAATTAAAATGGAAACTTTAACATTCTCAGATAAAGATTTGAAATTTAAAATTCCTTTTGGTATGATAATTTCTGGTCCTAGTTCCAGCGGAAAGAGTACATTATTATTAAGGTTTATTTCTGAAGCCTCGAATTTAATTGACCCCAAACCTAAAAGTATACTTTATTGTTTTGGTGAAATGAGTAATATTGTCCCTATTCTACATAAATCAGGTGTCAGTGTTTATTCTGGTGTTCCTTCTGAGGATTTGATTAAAAAATATCAAAAGCCATTATTACTAATTCTTGACGACTTACTTATGTCAATTGATGAAAAATACTTGTCCGAGTTATTTACGAAAAAATCTCATCATCAAAATTTTGCTATTGTCTTTGTTACTCAGAATTTATTCGAACGCAAAATTAAAGTTGCGCGACAAAATGCTCAATATATTATTATAATGCGTTCTCCTAATTCGGTATTATCTGTACGTAATATAGGTGTTCAACTATTTCCACAGAAGCTCGATTATTTCCTCGATGCATATAGACAAGCAACAAATAAACCTTTTGGTTATCTAGTTATTGATATGCATGCTTCATCTGACCCAGGACTGAGACTACGCACAAGTATATTTAAAGAAGATGAAGAAAAAATTATTTTTATTCCAAAAAATAGAATATAAATAATAATATGGTTAGCCAGATTATTCACGAAAATTTACAATTTTTACGACTTCTTGCAAAAACAAAATCGCATCGAAAATTGCAACGACTGTTAAGGCTCTCAAATACAAACCAATTATTAGCTATAACCGAAATTTGTCTGAATATTATAAAGGCTAGACTCAAACTTACTCCTCGGCAAAAGAAACGACTGATTCCATATGCTGACTTTGTTCGTAAAATGAGTAGGATAAGAAGTGAACTTGGCGCTAGAAAAATTTTAAATCAAAAAGGAGAGGGTGTGGGTATGTTTGCAGCGTTATTGACACCGGTTCTTATGGAATTAGCAAGATCTCTAGGAAATTCTATAAAAAGCAAGAATTAAACAAAAAACAACATACCTAAAATTATGGCAAACAAATTTATTCTTGTTCCTGAGGAAATTTACAAAGGTCTAACTACATTTGATACGGGGGAGCCTAATCTAGATTTAATTAGAAATGATCTTGAAAGAATTAAAAGAAAGAAAGATACTCCAAGTGCAAAAAATGTAAAATATAACCAAGAACTGAGACGGTATTTACAATTAAGAAATGAACAACAAAATAGACCAGTTAAAGTAGAGATGGTTGCAACACCTAAGGGAGCAATAATGAGTACAAATTCTACACGGCCGTCGTCTAATATAGTCGAAGATGATGATGAAATTTTGACAACAGATGATATTTCTCTCCCGTCTTTTCCTCAATCTAATAAAGATGTTAAATCGATAATTAATTTCAAACCCCAAAAACTACCTCACCCTCCATCTTTATCTTCATCATCTAGCTCTGTTAAAAAACGATTTAAGAAATTGAGAGGAAGCTCACCACCTCCTCCTCCACTACCTCCAACTACAAATCTTAAATTAATAAAAAAAGAAATTGTGTCTGAGCCAAAGAAAAGATTTTCAAGACACAAAAGTACAAAATATTCAAAAACAGGGAGTACAAAACAAGACTCTACAAGGCAAGACTCTATTATATTATCCGAAGATGTGCCAATAATATCAACTCATGTCTCACCTCAACAACGAATTATTAAAAGAGAATTTGACCAGGCTGATTTTGAAGGTATAAAGAGGAAAAAGATATATGACAACAGAAGGGAACAAGAAATAAGACAAAAAGAGAATAAATTGAAGGAAATCGATAAGAAACGTTATGAAAAAAGGCAACAATTATTAGCCAGACGACGAAAGTCGCAGAAACATAAAGTTCCAATAGACCCTTATGTTATTCAACAATTACGTAATAAAGAAAAAAGTGGAGCATCAAAAGGTTCAAGAAGGGTTTTAAGAGAGGGAAAATCACCTTCCCCGCCATTAAGCCGTCAAAAAATAAAACGAAAAGCAGAGTGGTCGCAAGGAGACGGACATACAATTGCTAAAGTCCAGAGAAAAGTCAACAAAAAACAATCACAAAGAGCTTCAAGA